AGTGCAGGGATGCTGGAGTGCAGGGATGCTGGACTGCAGGGATGCTGGAGTACAGGGATGCTGGAGTACAGGGATGCAGGGGTTCAGGGATGCTGGAGTGTAGGGATGCCGGAGTGCAGGGATGCTGGAGTGCAGGGATGCTGGAGTGTAGGGATGCTGGAATTCATGGATGCTGGAGTGTAGTGATGCTGGAGTGCAGGGATGCTGGAGTGTAGGAATGCTGTATTGCAGGGATGCTGGAGTGTATGGATGCTGGAGTACAGGGATGCCAGAGTGCAGTGATGCTGGAGTGCACGGATGCTGGAGTGTAGGGATGCTGGAATGCAGGGATGCTGGAGTGCAGGGATGCTGGAGTGTATGGATGCTGGAGTACAGGGATGCTGGAGTGCAGGGATGCTGGAGTGTAGGGATGCTTGTGTGCAGGGATGCTGGAGTGTAGGGATACAGGAGTGCAGGGATGCTGGAGTGCAGGGATTCAGGAGTACAGGGGTTCTGGAGTGCAGGGATGCTAGTAGTCAGTTCCAGCAAGGCCATATGTTTACCTTCTCAGAGATAGAGTAACAGGAACAGAGATGTCATTTAGTCCTGGGGCAAAGAAGCAGCTATCTCCAAAGCAAAGACCCCCACCTTCACCCAGAGATGATAAGGGCTGGGCAGTGACTTGAACCACAACCAGCCCCAAACATATCAAAAGACATTGTCCAGACCTCAAGCAACACTTTAATAAAGGAGATAATGCAGCTGCTAGCATTGCCTGGAGTCCTGTAACTTCCAACTTAATGGACAATTTAACTGGAAGGTATGTGAAAAGAAAGGCGTTAGCACCCATGGGACACTGGATGGGCAGAGCCCAGGGACCTCAGAACAGCAGCTTCAGAAGAAGGAGGATGCCGAAGATAGAGGAGGTGAAGGAAGCTCTGATGCCCATGCTGGTTTTTGGGGTAGTGGAGGTGAGGGAAGTTGTGATGCCCAATGGGGTAACGGTGGTTGAGTTGGACTCAGTGGACTCTGTGCATACAACTGACTTGAAAACAAACTCTCCAACTGTTGTGTTCTCAGCAGACAGGAATTCACAAGTAGAGTTGCTGATATCAGAACATCCCTTCAGCTCCACTCTGTTGGTACCTGAAGAGGTAAATGAGACAATTGGAACTCCGTACAACCCTCTGTCCAAGCCCCAGCCCAAGCGATTATTCATCTCCGAGAAGTTGAAATGTGCATCAGCCCCTCGATTCCTGGAAGCCATCTTTAAGGAAGAAGTCCAGAGCTAAGAATATCACACAGAAGCAGAACAAGAACTACATAAGTCAGAGTCCAGCCCGTCCTCACCCAACCCCAGAAGCCACTGGGGCTGTGAGAGGTGGGTTGCAAACCCAGACTTAAAAGAGAGCTGGGAGCTGGATCCTGGATGCCCAACCTCTCATGGTCCTGAGGAGCTGACCGATGAAAAGGCCAAAAATTAAACCAGGTATGGTAGTGAACACCTGCAAGCCCAATACTCGGCGGACTGTAGCAGGAAGACCATGAGTTCAAGGCCAGCCTCAGCTATGTGGCAAGACTCTGTCGAGAGAAATACAAAGGGGAGGGAAGAGTAAAAGAAGGAAGGGGGAGAGAAGGAATCAAAAGGAAAGGCAAGCATGGGTGACAGGCTCAGGGTCCGTTCTTTCTTGCAACTCTCCATTCAGAAATGAATGCATCAGTGGGCACCCTGGGCTCCTCCCTGCAACCCAGCATTTTCTTTCAGAAATCTTACTCCTCTAGATCTGACTTCTTCCTGTCTGAGTTTTCCTTGAGAAAAAAAATAGAAAAGCCAACAGGAAGTGTGCAGGAAATTCTCAGTATCTCCGTCTTAACTCAGAGCTCTGTTTCAGATTCAAGTCCTAGGGAAAGGTCCATGGCTCTTTCAAAGACAGCTATAATAGCAGCTACTTCTGAGTGGTTGTGTCCCTACAGGTCTGTCAGCTGCAACTCAACTGTCCCTAGGAAACAGGGAGCTCCCTGAGAACTGAAAGGGCTCAAAAGTGTGAAGGGACTCAGTACCGTCAGAGCATCAGAGTGTCAGAGCATATTGTGTAAAAGAGACCACCGAACCTCAGGAAGAAAGGAGTTAGCTCTTGCTTCACCCCAGGTATCAGTGCTGACAGCTGAGCTACCCTGAGTTGGGAAGTATGGTACTTGGCACATCTTAACACCCAAGAAAAGGTCCGTTTGTGGTCTGCCTGGCTTTGAGCATTAATGAGGCTACATCACGAGGAGATACAGGGACGAGAAGAGCATAGAAATTCTTTGCTGCTGTTGCTGCCTTTAGGCTCAACTTCAGAATTAAAAACTGGGACAGTGTGGGTACCTCGAGCATTTCAAAAGGAAAGTGTGACCTTTTGCAGTGGAAGAACGTATGCTTTGCATGTGTGAGGCCTCTGAGAGATAGAGAAGACAGACAGAAAAACCCAGAGAGACTGAGAAAGTGAGAGGGAGAGAGAACAGACATTCTGAGATACAAAAATTTATAGAGGCAGTAAAAAAGACCAGTGGCTGCCAGAGTCTTGTTGAGTAGAAGAAAAGCTTGGATCACAGAAGTCTTCCAGGACAAGGGCTATCCTCTATGTCACACTGTCATAGTGGAATGGACTATATCAGGAGTGACCCTGAGGTAAACTGGGGACTTAGGGGACAGTGAGTGCCTGTGTAGGCTCACCTCTGTGGTGAGCACTTGACAATGACAGCAATTACACATGAGCCAGGCAGTAAAGGTACATGGGAGGTGTCTGTGCCTTTAACCCAGCTTTACTGTAGTCCTAAAATATCTCTTAAAAAATAGTTTTAAGGGCTTTAAAAAAAAAAGCAGAATACTCGGATACACTGAAAGTTCCGTGGCTATAGTTAAACTTTGAAGTTAACATAAAGCAAAAATCAAAATGGAATTCGTATTTGGGTGCAGATCTTAAAGTCATATTAGTCTGAGCTGTGTTTTAGTTGAGACAGGCTGATTATTTATTTTTGATTTATACCTCTTTTTTTTTTCTTCTTGGAAATCACTAGACCACATTCCCAAGAGTTCCATTAGCTGGGATTCCACCCACTGTAGTGTATAGGAGGACACTGCACATTCACTTCTGGCCCTGACTCCAGAGATGGCCCCAGCCTTGTCGCACTGTCCATCTCTCCACCTGCCATCCCACCCCCATACCCCCACCACAAAGGACCAGCAGAGATCAACTCTCTTCTGAGAAAATAAGGACAGAGCTCCAGGGCAGTAGTGGCCCCAAGGCTGTCCCTTTAGGAAGAAGCAAATGTGCACTGACTGCATGCTGCTGTCAGGTTGGCCGGGTACTCTGGCAAAGTGATGGCCATTCTCAGGTTATTTTTGTAGAAGAAAAGAAATAACCAGATGGTCCTAGCTGTCCCAAGCCAATACCTCTCAGGATGTAGAAAAAAGTATATATAGGTATTAAAAACAAATAAAAGTCACACACATCCACATCTAAAGAGCAATGGCAGCCTAGTAAAGAAGCAAGGGCCAGGAGGGGCATGCAGTCAGATAACTGAACCTGGGTGTGACTACAGAAGGGAGGGAGAAAGGCAACCAGATGTAGCCCTGGATAAAGAGCTGAAGTAGAAACCAGCAGAAGGCTTCCTGGCAGTCTCCAACTGAAGGACATCCTGAGCTAATCTTCCCTCTGTGTCCACCATCCCCAGCTCTTCTGCTTTAACTCAGAACTTGAATCTTGTTTCAATCTGAGCCCTGTTAAGGAGCTGAAGCCCCAGACTTACCATTTGTAAGCTCCGCAATGATATGGACACATTTTTCTCCTTTGTAACACTGCTGGGGTTTCTCCTGGCAGTCTGTTTCCTTGTGGCCATAGCAAGACATGCACTGCGTGTTAGTGGCTTCCTGTGTTCCAGATTCTGGGTAGAGGAAAGCCATTACTTAAATCCATGTTATTACCCTGTCCTGAGAGGCAGGGGCAAGCAGGCAGAAAAGCTGCTAGGAAGTCTACATTCAGGGAGCCTGAGATCAAGCCCTAAAGACACACGCTTTGCCCAAAGGTTTTCTATGCACAACTCCTGAGATCCATCCTTGTGCACCAGCCAGTTCACAAGAATAGTGAGCCACAGTGCTGCAGGGTAACATAAGGAGATACCAAAGAGAACAAGCTGTAGCCAATGTCAACACCAGCTGGCTGTTTGGAGCCTTAGCCAACAGGTGTCTGATTGGCATTGAGATTTGTTCTGAGCAGATGAAAATGGGCCATTTTCATATTGCGATGGAGAAAAACAATTTTAACTCACATTGAGAACGAGCCTTACTCCTCACTGCCTGTGCGTATGATGATGAATGCCACTATCTCTGCCCATGCTCTTTTGTTTTGTCGTTTTGTTTTGCTTTGCTTTGTTTCTTCTTCTGAATCAGTGATTCTCAACCTGTGGATCATGACCATCAGAAAACCACAATTTCCGGTGGTCTTAGGAACTGAGACACTGAGTTACAGTTCTGAAGTAGCAACAAAAATAAATTTATGATTGGGGATTCTGCTTGTTGTGACCCACAGGTTGAGAACCACTGCTCTAAATGAAGACTTTGATCTAGAAAACCATTTTTTCAAACTGTGGTCCAGGAACTCCTGGGTCCCTGAGACCCACAGAGATTCCAAATGGTTAAAACCACTTCTATAAAACACCAAGATGTTATCTGCTTCTTTTAGTACTCCTGTTACCTTGTGTGCATGCGGCAGAATTTTCCAGAATCCCCACGTAATGAGTGAGACTGAAACGTTAAATACACAAGCAAATCCCCAGCTTCCTTCTAAACCAGGAGTTAAACACTCTATGAAAATATATATTTGGGGAGGACTAGAGAGATGGCTTAGTAATTAGCAGCACAGGCTGCTCTTCCAGGGGACCCAGGTTCAGTTCCCAGAAACCATGTGGCATATTATAACCCTATAACTCCAGCTCGATACCCACTTTTGGCTTCCATGGGCATTACATATTCATGGAGCACATATATGCATATGCATACATATGATATATATTTCAATAAATGGTGACTATGTTAGTATATGTTATATATTATTATCTATTAACACATATTGTATATTGGTATATCTATTTATATATACTGCTAATTAAATATTTTTGGAAGTTATTTCTAAGTGAAACTCTTACTAGTATTTATATATATAACTTATTATTTGTTTTTGTTTTTTCGAGACAGAGTCTCACTATGTAAACCAGGCTGGCCTTAAACTAATAGAGATCTAGCTACCTCTTCTTCCTCCCAAGGGAGTGCCAGGATTTAAAGCATGTGCAATCCCACTTGGCTAACTGATTTTACTTTTGACTATTTGAATTAAGATTTGTGGATTTGCTTAGCTTTAATTTTTAACCTGGTAGATGTTAGCACATGGAGACCATATAAACAAAAGACGTGTGGAGTCTTCAGTTGTTACTGAGACGTAGAATGTTGCCAGGCATGGTGGCACACACCTATAATCCCGCACTCAGGAGGCACAGGCAGGAGGACTGCAAGGTCACCCTTAGCTCCATAGCAAGTTTAAGGTGAATCTAGACTGCAGGAAACATTGTCTAAAAGAAATTCTTAGTTGAGGCACTGAGATCACAAAACTTAAAAATGACTAACTAGCATTTGCCTCGCTTGCCACAAAAAATGACCCGTGGAATCCCTATCTTCACTGAAAGGGAAAGCATAGTTGAGCTGGTTTAGCATCTCCCATGTTTCTTGTGTAATTGCTATAAGTCAGATGCTAACATTATCCAGCTGTGTGCAGAAGCGCCTGGACTTGAGATATCCACCCCCAGATAAGCAGAGCAGGCAGAAAAGCAAGGAAGGTGTGACCCAGGACAGGTTTCTGGGCCCTGTACAAACCATATTGGGTGTCATTGCATGCCTCTCCTTGGCAGCACTGGCTTGCAAAATGGAATCTTTGGTCATCAAATATATGCACAGTGAAGGCCACCACATTGTTGTTCTCGATGCAATTCGATTCGGAGCAGAATTTGTTCTGGTACAAATGGAGGAACCCTCCTACACCAAAGCAAACACAGACTGTTAGTACCTGAAGAAGCAACAGGGAGAATAGCATCCTGAGAAGACAACGCTTCAGACAAGGACAGCTGATATAAACCTCTGCTCAGAACAGTTTGGGAGAAACTGGAGAAGGATTCTTGGACCAAGAAGAACCCAGCCGGGTGGTAGTGGCACTTCTTTAACCCCAGCACTTGGGAAGTACAGAAAGGTAGATAGATCTCTGTGAGTTCAAGGCCAGCCTGGTCTAGATAGTGAGTTAAACTCTGCCATTAGCTAACCTGCATGCTGTGAGCCTCACTCACGCGGCCATATGCCCATATGCACAGTCTCATATATCAGAAGAGATAGAAGTGAGTCCAGCACAAAGTTGTAAGCCTACATACTGTTAAAAGTTTTCATGATTTTGTTGTTGCTGTTGTTAACTACATCTCTTGTTCTTGAACATGAGTTTTGTGGTGACAATGTCATATCATGATGTCAAAAGGTTGGGTAAAATGCTTAGGCAGGAGGGACACCAGAAAAATGGTGGTCTAGCCTAACATATAAACAGAATCATAGACACACACATACCCGCCACTAATTTGTCTTAACGTCTCAAAAAATGATAAAGCAGACACAGCGGGATTTTGTATCTGATACAACATCAGAGTAACAGCTGAGGTTCCTTCCTAGAAACTGCACATAAATCCAGTCAGAGCTATGCAATACGGAAACATCAGCTGCATGTGGCTGTTACACTGAATGTGGACTAGTCAAAATAAATAAATTAAGAGATTGGGAATGAGGCTGTGTGATAGAGTGCTTGTCTGGTACATGCAGAGCCCTGTATTTAATGTTCAGCAACACACACACACACACACACACACACACACCAACCACCAAAAATATAAGTAAAGTTAGCTGGCCATGTTGGCATAAATCATAATTCCACCATTCAAGCTGAGATTGACATCAACTTCCTCACTGGCTCTCTGCCTTATTTTTTGAAAAAGGGACTTGAGGTGCTCTGGACCTTGCCAGTTTTAGGTTGGCCGGCCATCAAGGTATGGGTTCCTCTGGTCCTAGCTGCCCCCCATGCTGGGGTTAAAGGCATGTACTACCATGCCTAGCCTTTGTGCATAGATGCTGAGGGATATGCTTGGGTCCTCATGCTTTGTGCAAGCACTTCATTAACTGACCCATCTCCTGAGCGCCCTTGCTTAGATGTCAGCTGCTGTCCTGGCTACTTTTGTGCATGGAAGACCTCTCAGTACCCTGAGAGATTCCCAGAAGTCAGCATGCCTTGGGGGCAGGGGGCATACACTGAAGAAAACACATTTGATGTAGATGAGAGAGGGGTGGGGGTGGGGGGAGATACAAATGTCTCAGGCAAAACACACGCCTCTGATTCAGCTCTGAGTTGCTCTTGCTGTTTCCAGCTACAAAAACGTATCTACAGTGAGGTTTCAATCGATGGGAGTGATTTCCACCACGCCACAGGGCTCATCCGATTGTTTGATTCTCTGCACGAATTCCCATCCAGCTCCTGCTCATCTCAGCCACTGGGGAGTTGTCTACATGACCCAGTAGTCTCTCTGCACTGTACAACCCAGCCCTGTCTCAGGTATCCTTCCTCTGTGCCCACCCTCTTTAGCTCCCATCTACCACAAGTCCCAGCGACAGTAGCTCCACTCACCTAGAGTGGAGTTGACTGAGGATTCCACACAACTGAAGGAGCCTTCAGGGCATTCGCTGACACTGTCATCACAGGTGCTATTGTACACGTGACACTGTCTACAATTCAGGGAGTCTGAGAGGACAAAGTATTTACAGGATACAGTCAACAACCTGCAGACATTCACAGAGAACCATACCTACAACAGGAAAAATATCCAGATGGGACGCCCAACTGTTCTCTGAGGATTCCCCAAAACTGACATTATGAGATGAAGCCATGCCCATTAGTTTAGCCTCATCATTCACTGTTCCCCGACAGGAAAATCCAACCCTGACCAGCCACAGAGTGGTCTTTCTGAAGGCAGAATGGACACATGGGTCTCGCACAACACAACAGGTGGTAGGTACTGCAGGACACCAAGAGCAACAATGTTGGGCAGGAATGGAAAAGAAGGCTATATCACGAAGGGGGCCGCATGGCCTCTCTTACCTATAACTGTGATGGAGAACGCCGCAATGACACCAGCAATAAAAACGCCTCTCATGATGCCGGAGCTGGCTTCCCCAGAGGATGGGGTTACAGAGCCTCAAACCTGGAGAGACACAAGGGGCAGCTGGGATCTTAGAGGAATGGCTTCCACCAAAGAGTGTTTTTAAAGACTCTGAAACAATGTTAGTACTGGCTCTGTCCTTGTGTCTGGGAAAAATATAAACCAGAGTCCTGCATGGGTACACAGGGCTGTGACTCACGTCCACATGGTCCTGACACCAGGTTGAATTTAAGCTGCAGATGGGCAGACGGGCTGATTTTCAATTCTGCTGGGGCTAAAACTTGTGCCTATCAGATTTCTGTCACTCTGACAAAACGTCTGAGATGATCAATTTATAAGGAAGAAAGATTCACTGTGACCAATGACACTTTTGTGGCTTCAGAAGTGTCAGTCGGGCTAAAGAGAAGGCTCAGCAGTTAAGAGCACTAACTGCTCTTCCAAAGGTCCTGAGTTCAATTCCCAACAACCACATGGTGTCTCCTCTGTAATGGGATCGGATGCCCTCTTCTGGTGTATGTGAAGACAGCAAGCAACAGGACAGTATGCTCATATACATAAACTAAATAAATAAATCTTTTTTTTTTTTAAAGTGTCAGTCATTTCAACCTATATCCTATGGGCCTGTGTGGAAGGAGATCTGTTTACCTATGGCAGCTCAGAAAGTACAAGGAAAGAGGAGAGTGCCCCAGAATCTCCCTCAATGAGCTAACTTCTTCTAGGCATCCTCCTGAAGGTCCCAGCACCTCACTGTAGAGCTGCAGGCTGATGACCAGGCCATGGGCTTTTGAGGGATACTTGAGATTCAGATCCTAACAGAGTCCTAGATAAATAGAGCTGCCCTGGGTTCTGTGCCCTCCTCACTTCCCTCTGGTTCTATATTCCTCTTAGCTTCCCCTCAGCTCCCCTGACACAGATCCTGTGTCCCCTCCCCACTCCGGAGTGCAATGGGTATCCTCTCTCCAGGAGACTCCTGCACTCCTTCCCTGCTCAGGGGCTTAGCTGCCACCGCCTATGCAGATACCTGTGAGCCCTTGCTACGCTCCAAGAGCCCTTTACACGTGCTCATCTGTCCACCAAGGCAACCCGGTACTATTCTTAGAACCTAGTCAAAACTGAGATGAGAGAAATGAGCTCAAGATCAAGCTCTTCCTCCGGAGAGGTGTCAGAGCTGGGACACACCCATTCCACTCTGCCACCCAACACCTGTGACACACCTCAAAACCCCAGGCCTGGACACATCAAAGCTCCTGAGTCAGATTAAAGTGTCACTAGTTTCTCAGCACCTAGCACTCTTTGCCTGCAAACCATCTGAATTAGCTCTTTGAGGCTTGCTAGGTTTTTGCCACATTTGTTAGGATCCTAGGTCACAGCTTGGGAGTTTCACTTTGCCTGAATAGCAGCATGACACAGAAAGCAAACATTTGCATATAACCCTCCCTGGTCATGATCTTATTTATCCTATAAAATGGCAGCCATGGTCAAATCCGGCTCCTCGGGTTAATCCACTCAAGGTAGATAACGGCACACCTGTCTGTCAGTACAGGAACCACTGTCCAGATCCTCAGCAGCCACATGTGCTGAGCAGCTGCCCCTAGCCAGGGCAGGCAGAACTGTTGCGTTTCATGGAGCTCCCCCTAACTGCACCACCACCACCCCCTCGCCTGGCTGGTGTCTGCACTTCACAGCCGTGCAACCTCTGGGAATAGCAAAAGCACCCCAGGCTCAAAGCAGAACGCTCCAGGTTCTTCCTATGATAGCTGCCACAGGCTGAAGAAGAGCTGACCTTTTCCGGGGAAAACAGCCCTTTTCCTGCTCTGTCCAATACCACCACTCAAACACACATCCCATCACACTGCACACACGGCAGTGTGGCTTTCTGGTTGACTTATTAAGGACTAGGGGAAAAGTAAAGGAAACTAGCCTGGTCAAGGGGACAGGAGGCCAACATGTTTTCCCAGTGGCCGTGAGGTTTAGAAACCCAAAAGGCAGCTAGCGTATGTCCTGGTTAGAGCATGTGACACGCGAGCTCTGCATTCAACTGTTTACTCATTCACACACCAAGGCACCTCTCCAGGCCTGGAACCCCAACGGCTGAGAAAAGACTTCTAGAACCTAATTACTGGGAAGGAGGAGAGGAAGAGAGATAAAAGGTGTGGGGAGAGGCAACCATAGAAGGACAGCCATAGCACAGGTCAGATCAGCTCCACCACCAGCCTGATGTGAGCCTTATCTCCAGACCCAGAGAAGTCAGGACCTGGCTAGCAGACAGCAGAGAGGCAAAGCCTAGCGGTAATCCTATAGTGAGGCATGAGGCCTGTCAATCACTTCTATTGGCCAGAAGGGTCTTGTGTATCCCAGGCTAGCCTCAACCTGACTTCGTAGGCAAGGATGACCTTTAACTTCTAATCCTCCTGCCTCTGTATCCTGAGTTTTGGGATGACAGACATCCACTATACCCAGTCTCCAAGGCACTAGGGATGGAAGCCAGCACGTTCTGTATCTTAGTCAAACACTCCTTCACTCGAGCTCCATCTCCAGTCCCCTTCTTGACTTGTGACATTCAGTAGTCAGGTAGTATGCTTTTAAAATTGCTGGCATCTGCTAGGAAAGCCAGAGGTCAGAGACAATGTGCCACACGGACAACAGAATGCCATGCAAACAACACCCCTCTCTCTGCCTCAACCTCTGCTACAGCCTGCCCATCTTGAGATCAGGGCAGCAGTGGGCAACAGAGGCAGAAAAGAGCCTCAAGAACATCCTGAACACTAGCCAGAGCCAGCCTGAGTTCCCTGAATGCCCGCCACCCCCACCCCAAGGATTCAGATTCTCCCAGGATCAGGCTCCAACCTCAGAGTCCCCTCACCTTCTGGTTCCAGCCAAGGACACTATCCCGAGGAAGATGGAACAGGTGTGGGGAGAGGCCTTATATAGTAGGTGGCTGTATGATCTGAAAGCCCAGCTACCTTCTGGGGAGGGGCCTTTTTGTTAGCTTGGTCCCAGCTTAGGGCTGTTAGATGGTGCCCTGCCCAACCATAGTGATCAGGCTACTTAACCCTTGAACCCTGTGTAGGTGGTGTTCTCTCTGGGACCTGCAGGGATTAAAAGTACCTGCCTTTCCTGCAGTGTGTGAGTGGACACAGTATGTTCCTGGCATCTTCCAGTGTTGGCCATAGCCCACTGACTCACTCCCATAACCAGGGAGTAGCATTCCTGAATAGCAGCTTGATTTACAGTCGACTCCCAGTTCTGGCAAAATCCTCATTTATAGATGAGGAACCCCGGCTATGGAAGGAAAATGTAACAGGTTTGCCCCGGCAGGTCACAGGGCAGGGTCAGATGGATCACAGGAGGGCCACAACACATAGTTAAGAGTCTCAAGTCTTTTTGGCAAATGGCTTAACTGGACCCAGTTACAGAATTTTTCCAACCAAGATAAAACTAAGCCCACTGTGCAGCTGCATGGGATGATAGGTGGGCCATAAAGGGAAACTTGCCCACAGCAGGCTCTACCCCAGGCCTCCAGCAGGGATGACTGCCTTCTCTAACAGCCAGGGTAGCTTCCTGTGCTCCATCTGGGCAGCCAGCATTGACTAGAGCCCAGGTCAGGTGCACTGGAAACCCTTCCTGGCCCCTCATGTGATGCTATGGTTCTCCTCGTCTTTCTATTGTCCTACCAACACACTAACACACACACACACACACACACAGTGTAAGGGAGCAATTCTGCCAAGAATGAAACTGATGAATGTACTCACACCAATGTCCACAGCCTGTATTCAAACTCAGAAGTTTTTTTATTCTTAAAAATAAAAACCTCTTATCCTGCTATGGTGGTGCCCACCTTTAATCCCAGAATGTGGAAGGCTGAGACAGGCAGATCCCTAATAGTTCAAGGCCAGCCTGGTCTACATAGCCAGCAAGCTCTGGACAAGTCAGGCTACATAGTGAGAGCTTGCCTCAAAAATAATAAATAAAAATACATAAATACCTCTGTTAACTATCCCAGTTCTCTCTCTCTCTCTCTCTCTCTCTCTCTCTCTCTCTCTCTCTCTCTCTCTCTCTCTCCACACACATACACACATACACACACACACACACACACACACACACACTTCCCTAGACACTCCTGGAGCACCCTCCATATGTCAAGCTGGGTAGGCACATGGGAGGGTCTGTGACCTTTGCTCTCCTGAAATGTTCTCTGAAGAGGAAGACAGAACATAAATAAATATACAATCAAGCAAACTAGAGATTAAGATCAGAGTCACTGCATCAACCAAATTGGGGGTGTGGGACTGAGTTTTTAATAGAAACATCAGAATCATCCTGTAGAGAAAGCACATCCTGAGTCAGGTTTCGAAGTCCCAGCTGTAATGGAGGACTTTGAGTGTTTGTGAATTTGTTTGACAGCTCTGGGAAACCCTATCAGCTGTTAGGATGAGGATGGACACGGGAAAACTAGACTAACCAATGCTAAGTCTCTTCAAGAGGCATCAGGTACTCAGGATAGAGAGACAAAAGCAACCAAAATTATATTGTCTGAATGCAGACTTTGCACCTCTTGTCACATAAGTAAGTTACTTATTAACCTTGTTCACTGTCCATGTTACCTGTGTGAAATCCTAACAGCCCTAATAAAATAAAAGCCCTAATAAAAATAAGACCTGATGGTTATTTGTTCCTGGAAGCCTCACGTCATTTTTTTATTTATTTTTTTTAGGTTTTTCAAGACAGGGTTTCTCTGTGTAGCCCTGGCTGTCCTGGAACTCACTTTGTAGACCAGGCTGGCCTCGAACTCAGAAATCCACCTGCCTCTGCCTCCCAAGAGCCCAGCTGCCTCAAGTCATTTTGCCGTTTTCCAAGGTCATTTATCAGGAATGTTGGAGAGGTGTTAAGCCTTTGGAGTTACTCACAAAGATGATCTCGACCATGTTCCCCAATTAATGTCAACACTGAAGACAACAACAGCCTCTTGACTATACTAGATAGCTCTA